AGGAACAATAAGAGTACTTTTTGGTCTTGCAGAGTGCTTTTTACATACAGTGTGCCTTAAAACCAGTACCTAATGGTTAGTGTGGAATTTCCTTTTGGTTTCAGCTAAGCTAAGGTAGCTCGTTATTTTAATTATTTCAAATACCGATCACTCGGGATTTACCTTCTCACTTGGCATCAGCATTTGTGAGGTGCCTTGAGAAACAGCAAATAAAAATGTTGACAATAGGTTTAGGATTTTATATTGATGTTTCTTATTTTTTTTCTGCTGCCTATGGAATTAATTGGTTTTGGTCAACAGGTGAATTAGTGTGATCAGTAAAAGCAATGGCTCTGATTTGATTGCTGAATATTTGTGTCTTGTTAGGCAATTAACCAGAGTTGCGTGCACAGAAAAGCAGGGTATTATTTATTAGAATATTTTCTACATTGGTAAGCACTTTCCATTTTAGCGATTGAAAAAGATGTTACTGAACATATCCTAAAAGCATCCCGGAGGCGGTAGGATATGTAATTGGCTGCTTTTTGTAGTTAGGGAAAACAGCGCTCCAGAAGTGCACAAATAAACAGCTCCAAGTTGTGCTAACAAAATTATACATTCTCCAAGGATTTACAAACCCCACTTTGTTCTCCATAAGTACAAATATTATAAAATACAGATTTTTTTTTTTAAATTCATGATTATTTTTTTTACTTTTTTTTTTTTTTTTGCTATTAAATAAATTGTTTAGAAGTTAGGTGGCTTTTTTTTTTGTTGTTAGAACAGTTCCAGATCATGGTTCTAGAGATCGAAACAGGAATGTCTCAGGGCATTGGTTTATATTATAGATCATGCTGATCATTGTATGGTATTTATTGTATGTACTCAACCCTGTGTTCCCACTGTTGTGTATGTAATTTGTCCGTGTAGCTGGTCTAACAGGAATTCTACTCACGTGCACCAGCCCACATTTAATTTTGCATCAGGCTGATTGCTCATGTACAAATGCCAACCGACGCATGACTGCGGGCAAATGGAGTGTGCAGATATGTGCATGTTTCTGACCCCACGATTCACCACACGCATGAGAAAATAAGCCTAATGCATTATCGCAGAGCTTCGGTAATAATTCAGAAATTTACTCTTCAAAATACTGTTAATGCAGAGTTTCATTTTTTATGTGTTACCCAGAGGCAGACTTGCATACGTGCTGTTAACTCATGACGGTCACTATAGCTTTGCTGGCTATAATATTCTCTTGCATTTGCTTTCCATGAAAGATAGGAAGATCTTATGAGCTGTCAGTGGATTCACATCTCCCCAGTTACGATGATAGTTGTGCTGACTGAGAGATCTGTGGGAAATGTTTCCTGCTGTGGCACAGAAGGAATTTGATTAAACTTGATCTTCCTGAGCTACCCCTTCCTATCGACTGTTGGCCAGATTCATAGAAACACCAACATTTTTTTCTTTATTTGTAAAAGCAGAAATCAGGTCTCTGGAGGAAGTCTAGATGAAATGTTAGAGGTCCTAGAGGTTTATCATTATTTCTAAACAATCTTACTACTCAAAATATTTTTAAATATAGTATTTTCTTAGAGTGTGGTTGAAATTAATAACTAAACCTGCAAGCACTGTTTGTCATATCCACACCCTTTCCATCAGCTTTCCAGCAGTGGGAATCATCCAGTGCTCCGAGGCTTGTTAATATTCAGCTATGCGTGGCCAAACAATCAATACTGTTCATTGTCCTTCTTTGCTAGCCAAGAACAGCATTGTCCAGGGCTTGGAGAATGTGGAAGCTGTGGAAGGAGGAGAAGCCCTGTTTGAATGCTATCTTTCCAAGCCTGAGTGCTACAATTACAACTGGCTGATCGACGATGAACCTGCCAAAACTACAGAAAACACTGAGATGGTTTACTTTGAAAATGGACGCAGGCATCTTCTGCTGCTGAAGAACCTGACTCCCCAGGACAGCTGCAGGGTGACTTTTACATGCAGCGATGCGGTGACCTCAGCCTTCCTGACGGTGAAAGGTAAGGGAAGCATTTGAGCATGGGGAGTCTTCAATTTCTGGTTGGAAAGAGCGAATGAACCAGGAAAATATGCTGAGTACCAGAGAGGAAAAGTTGCATTTGTTGCTTGCTTCTTACCTAAATATTCTTCCCATACAATAAATGTTTTACAATTTCCTTTTTTCCTTGTTCTGTATGCCATGACGTGGATATAAGTGGCATCAGTTGAGTTAGCAGCAAATGACTGTCTTACAGTCATCATTATTCTGATGAGCTGGGTGGTGTTTATAGGTACATCGAGGCTCTACAGATGAGAGTTATATCAACAACAATATTATCTCTGTATCCTTGTGTTTTATGCTATTGCTGGAGACCCCTGTGGGGCTCAGAACCCTTTACAGAGTACAAGAACAACCATCCTCAGTCATAGCATAGTATCTCCATTGTGTTTTTCTGCTACTTGGGAAAGACATTGCTCAGTTCGCTTTTGCTCCTGAAAGTTTTGGAAAGTTTCAGTCCCCGATGATACTTTCTGTTCTAGTTGATTGATATTGATATACACAACCTTCCCTTTAACGATCTCCTTGGTCTCCAAGGCCTGACTGTCCAGAGCTTCAACAGAAATAATCTCAAAATCTCTTGCCTGTATTTCTTCCTGTAACTGAGGGGTTTGATTGCCTGTTTTTATCTACAGGATGGCGCCTACAGATCTTGCAGCCTCTCACCGATGTGGAAGTCTTTCCAGGAGAGAAAGCTACGTTCACCTGTGTTCTAAGTGAAGCTGTGCCAATTAATGAAGTTGCCTGGTATAGTAACGACATAGAGATCCAGTCAGATGAGGACTGGGAGGTACAAGCAGATGGAAACAAATACAAACTTACTCTGAAAAAAGCCCAACCACATCATTCTGGAGAGGTGACCTTTGCTTCCAGAGAAGCGATTGCATCAGCCAAGTTATCTGTGATAGGTGAGTGTCTGTCATTCTAGCCTACTGGCATTTGAAATCTCAGACTTTGGTATTGAGAGACAACACTGAAATTTCTGATCTCGGCACCAATTCTTTTTTCTTTGCCTTGCATGGCCCAAGCTTCTTAGTGTGAGAAGGTGTTGCTGGGCAACATGTTCTTTGACCAGAAACAGTTCAGCTCATCAGAAGAAAATTATATCAGGCTAGCGGTGGTCGGGATGTTCACAGTCTTTTGTAAAATGTAGCATGGAATCTATTAGTCAGAGTTCAACATCTTCCTTAGAAAACATGGGGACACAGGAGGGAGCTGAACTGGAGTGCACATGGAAAAATTACCTGGGGCAGCAGACAACCCTTTCAAATCTGCTAATCTACTCACGTAGAGGGCGACTACTATTCCAGATTAATAAATTGCATATTAAAATCTTCATGTGGGTGAGATCCGTGAAACACATACTGTGTACTTCAGAGAGACAAGAAATAATAGCGCTTCAGAGTACTTCACAAGTAGAAAAGATGATATTTGCCTAATTCCCTCGTGGATCAGGTTAGACCAATGATTTATCAACGTCCATTCCAGCACCCAAGGTCTGGCTCCTTCGCACAGTGGGATAGGTAGGTCACCCAGCAATGGTCATGCCAGCACAACCCCAGTGATGGTTGTGAGATAGTTGCAAGGGCTTTTAGCTGTACACTGTAGTTGAGATGTTTGAGAGCCACTGATTGACGATCCATTCTTTAAATTATTATGGGTAGTCTGTCTGTCTAATGATTTCTGAGACTTGAGAGATCTCTGATATGTTCCAGTCATTTCCAAAAAAACCCTGGTTGTTGAGAGATTTAAAACAGCATTATCTTATTTTGGGCACCTACATTTTAGGAACTACAAAATACTACCCTCATGAACTCCTCCTGTTGACGGGTTTTCTATATTAAATTTGGTTGAAAAATAGAGAAAAGAAGCTTTTATGTTATGTTTGTGGTGTCCAGAATTAAAGAACAAGCTGTTGACCTTATTTGCCTTTAATTTGTTGGATTGGTACATCGTGGCAGGTCAATTACTTGGTAAATACCTCGAATTTGAAGATGAAAATAATTACTTCTCTCTTCTAGGCTAAAGTGTAAATTAAGTGAGGAACATTTTCCAATGTATTGATATAATCGTCGATAGCCAATGCGGTAGGACACTTGCTATTAAATTACTAGAGTTACCCTGCAGTCCAGCGATATCTTGATTTCCATTAAGGCCAGATAAATATGATCAAGGCCAAATGTACTTGAAGCTACCAGCTGAGTTCCTTGATAATACGGACAGTGTAGGGTCAACTTTATTTTGAGCTGGGAGGGACAAAGCAGCAGATAAAAATCACAACAATATGTGACACTAAGTATGTGAGATGGCAGTTGGAAAATGGGTGTTTGTCATTGGCAGCATAGATCAGGGCAGACAAAGGAAAACTCCATGGTGCAAGGGTATGTCTCACAGTCATGGGCATGTACCCATTCAACTTTGCAAGAAGACAAATACTGAATCTTTTGCACTTCCTTCTCATTGCTTGGAGAAGGCTCTTGGTTGTTTTAGTATAAAGCATTATTGCTCGTGTCATACATCACGGGACCTCTGTTGTGCCTTCAGCCCACCCCGATCCACCCGAAGAACCAGAAGTTTTAAGTAAGAACAGTCACTCTGTAACTCTGTCTTGGTACAAGCCGTTGAGCGACGGCGGTTGTGACATCCTAGGCTACAACGTGGAGAAGAAAATCCCAGGTATTGGCTGGCAGTCCTGCAGCAAGGGCGTTATTCAAAACACGGAGTTTATGGTGGACGATCTCACCCCAGGTGAACCCTACAGATTCCGTGTCTCGGCTATAAACAAAGTTGGGGCCAGCGAGCCGGTGCATTTCCCTCAGGCGGTGCGTCTAGGTGAGAACAGAGAGTTGCCCCCGTGGAGGACTGCAAGCTGCTGCAGACCTTGTGTTTCGCATGGCATGCCTGCTTCATCCGTTCCAGGCATCTCCTGGAAGAGTTCATTCTGCAATGTCTTGCAGTGCTTTGCTGCCAACACAATAGAGCAGAAAGAGCTTGGAAAAATTGGTTTGGGCTGCCACGATCAAAACGTGCTGTGTTGTTAGTGTTCAACACTTATTTTCTCCAAACTGCATCAAGCTGTCTTGCAGCCTGCACTGCATCCAAGTGTTGTCCAGTCACCGTGAGTTTCTTTTCTTGTGGAGTTCAGATGGAATGAGTCAAAAGGGGCATGTTGGAATGCATTTGGGGTAACTGAGACCCTGGAACCAAGGCAGTGGGTGGGCAGTGTTGTCTTCTTCACCCATCTTTCTCTTTCACTATATTACGTGCATATCTTTTTTCAATAACCCCACAAAGAAAATGGAGGACACAGTTCCTTTGCTATCTGTTGGTGAAACTTTGGAAGCTATGGTGGGATGGACAGCCACTCCCTCAAATCTTTCTTTTCTTGCCACTCTTTCTGTGATACCTGAGTGCCCAAGGAATTCCTCAAAGTGTGGACAATTGTAATAAAAATATCTTCTTTTTGCCACATAACAACTGCCAATGTGTCAGCTGGACCCTGATAACTCTGCATATGCTGACTTTGTCTACCACAAACCCAAGGCATTTTGGCCAGTGGCCTCCTCACCCCGGGAAAGTGTGCAGAGGGGCAGATCACGCACAGGAGCGTGCTGCTTTTGGGAACTCAGCTGTGTACTTTACATCCCAGGCAACATCTCTGTGTTCAGTGGTTTTGCCTTGACTTCATTTTGAGTGTCGCTGTCGTACAAACAGCGTGCCGTTGGCAGGCCTCCTTCCAAAGTAAAGAAGATACGGAGAATTTTTATTTTTAAATTCTTGGTGGTTTTTGAGAATTTTTACTCTTCCTAAGCTAGTGTAAATATATTTATTTCTTTTTTTTTTTTTTACTTTCAATACTGGGATGAATGCCACTTTTAATAACGTCTTTTCTTTTTTATTCTTTTTATTGTGTTTTTTTTTTCTTATCTCACTTCAGAATTGCTTCACTTCTAAACATTAAGATCTTCTAGAATCTGTAGGACTGCTTGAATACTGGCGATGGGTAAATGAAGATCAGCAAATAAACACAGGAATGTGAAAAACGCAACCACTTTTGCATGTATATATTTAAAAGGAGATGGTTTAACCACTGGGAGAGCTTGTAAAGTTATTTTGATATTATCTTTGGAAGTGCAAACTTTGGATGCTGCCAGTTATTTTTTTTCCTTTGGTTGTCTACAACAGCTAAAGAATCTATGAATGAAGGATGGGATGCTTGGACATTTTATAGAGTGATCTTGAGTGCCTTAAAGCCAGGTTATGATACGTTCTTTGTGTTAATCTTTACTTAAAATTACTTTTTTTTGTAATTACAGAGCCTCCAGTTACAGTCACCCATCCTTTGGTGGGAGGATCAGTCTCGGAAGGGGAGGTGGCTCGGTTGGAGTGCAAATTATCAAGTGAAACTGAAGAGAGAGTGACATGGTTCAAAGGAAAAGAACAAATACAAGCTGGAGGGAGATACGAGATCCTCTCTGATGGAAAAAAGCAGATACTCATTATTCACGCATTTAAACCTGAAGATCAGGACACATACACCTGCATGGTTTCTCCAGAAGTCAAATCTGTTGCCAGCTTGTGTCTTGAAGGTACAGAGAGTGCATTTCTGTGACGTTAAACCAGTTCTTCTTGTGGACATCCAGGGGCAGCTCCACAGCTTGGACTGGAATTAATTTTCTTTTACAAGCTGTGCCTAAGATCCACAAAGAATTGTTATCTCCCTGTTCTGTATTGCCCAGTATGTTTCTGAATCTGTAACAGCTTTGAGCTGCTCAGATAAGATTTTCCTGAGTCTGATATTTAAGGTGGGATACAGTTGCCTCTACATGGGTTTCTGGTGCCTTTTGAGATGTCTTAGGGTATCCTCCCTGGCCTTCAGCTACCACTTCAGAAAGTGAGGGCTATTTTCACATGTTCTGCACGGTATCTGCCAGCCCCTGTCCTAGACATCCCAAATGGCTTTGGATTATTGTGTTTAGGAAGCCAAATTGTGCCCTATAGGTGGGATTCAGTGCCCCCCACACAGGCAAGCTGTGCCATTGAGGCACTTCAGGATATCACCCCTGGCCTCCATTTCTTTCTCCAGAGGGACCCAGAATACTCATAGGTCCTGTGTTGTGTCTGAGACCCACATATGGATGTCCCTGACAGCCTACAGCATCTCAAAGGCAATAGGCACTGTGCAGAGGCAAGTCAATGTGTCCCAGGGGGTTCCTCACAACTTTCAGACTTAGACACATCTGAACAGGCAGGGGTCTTCGTGTGAGGTGAGCGTCTCAGCTCCCATTGTAGCCAGTGGAAATCTATTCAAGACTGTCAAGCCCTGCCTAGCTGTAAGATAGCACGAGCAAAACAGCTTTCCAGGCTCAGTCTTAACTGAACATTCATCAGCTGCAACATTTAAAAAGGGCAGAAATTTATTTATTGGGTTCAAATGTGTGAGGAAAAAGTTTTTTGGCCATGTTTTACGTGTATGCACAGAATCACAGGATAGTTGAGATTGGAAAGGGCTTCTGAAGATATAAAGCAGGGTCACCTAGAACAAGTTTCCCAGGACCATGTTTTTTATATTAAATTCACATTTTGTTCTCAACAGACTGCTTAGTTAAATGCCACTGATACTCTTCTGCCCAGGCTCTAGAATAACATTTCCATGTGCTTTCTCAAAGCTTACTCACAGACTTTGTCTTTTAACATCTTATCAATTTAATTCTCCTCAGTTCCCACAGTGGCAATGCTAAAAGATATTGCCAGGGAAACACCCCCTGCAAGCCAAGCAGAAGAGGTGGTGGATGGCCATGTCCAGCCCAGCTTGCCCCCTGAGGCTGCTCAGGAGGGAGATCTTCACCTCCTGTGGGAAGCTCTGGCCAAGAAACGCCGGATGAGCCGGGAGCCCACCTTGGATTCCATCAGTGAGGTGCCTGAAGAGGACGAGAAGCTTCAGAAGTTGAGGAAGGAGGAAGCGGAGATGTCTCACTATTACTCAGAGGAGTACTCCACGTGTGATGAGCTGGCTAGGACAGGAGAAGCAGATTTCTCTTTCACAAGCTCAGATGATGAGTCTAGAGCTGGGACTCCTTCACTGGTGAACTACCTCAAGAAAGCTGAGAAGAAAAGTGTCAGTGTTACTAGCAAGGTTCAATCCATTTCCACAGACAAGTTATGGAAACAGTGGGAGAAATCCAGTGAGGAGACTGTGGCAGCTGCCCCAGCTGCTAAGCCAACTGAACCAGAAATGCCGGATTTAGATGATCCTTCCATGAACAAGGCTGCTGTGAAGATCCAAGCTGCTTTCAAAGGCTACAAAGTCAGGAAAGAGATCAAGCAACAAGAGTGCCCAGTGTTTACTGAGACCTTCAAAGATTTCTCTGGTGAGCCTGGAAGCACTCTCCACCTTGAGTGTGTGGCCCACAGCAAAACTGACATGAAAGTCCGTTGGCTGAAAGACGGGGAAGAGCTTTCAGACGGTCGCTACTATCACATAGACAACTACAGTGATGGGACCTGCTCTTTGATTATCACTGGCCTGGACAGGAAAGATGCGGGTAAATACACCTGTGAGGCATCCAACAAATTTGGCAAGGTTTCACACAGTGCTAAGGTGGTTATTGGCACTCCAGAACCTCAAGTTCTTCGTAAGGAGAAGCAGGTTAAACAAAGCACTGACAGTGAGACAGAGAGCTCATCTGGCAGTGAGCTGGATGATGCTTTCCGTAAAGCAGGAAGACGACTTCATAGACTCTTCAAGGCCAAGATCTCAACAGAGATATCTGATGTGGAGGAAGAGCTCTTTGTCAGTGCAGATGAAGGGGACATAGAGGTGGTTGACCATCAGACATACCGTGAGGATGAGCAGTACATCTACATCAAGTTTGAAATCTTGTCTGAGGCAAAAAGTGCCGCCACTCGATTCAGGGAGATGTTTGGTGCTCTCGGAATTCCCGTGGAGATTGACATTTTGGAACAGGGCCCTAAAAAAATTGAATTGCGTATTGGGAAAGCAACACCAGTCACCCATGGGAAGTTTGCACCACCAGTAGTGAGACCTCCACCGCCTTTGCTGACTTCTGATACAGGTAGGTGAAGCAAACCTGTTTATTATTTGGAAAAGACAGCCGGAGCAGGTCACAATGTTATCTTTTCACTCATAAATAACTTTCAAAAAGCGTTTATTTTTCATTTGGTGCAGATATTTTTCTAGAAACTTTGTAATTTTGGAAAGAAATGGAGGAATTTTTTATTCTTTTTCATTTTGAGGGAGAGGAGGGAGGTTAGTGATGAAGGAGGGGGTTGCAAAGTATTGACTGATATACAAAGCTGCTTTTCACAATAGAAATGACCCCTACTACAATCACATGGCCATAAAAGCTATGATTATTATACTTAAAATAATTAAACAGTTTTCAGAACAGTCCTGAGGGAAACAAGACATGTCAGCAAAGAGAGGAACAGGTAATGTATAGTTTGCAGCTGTGGTATTGCAATGCTAATGGTGTTACGGAATATCTTCGTGGTGTTTGTCAGGGAGTTTCTACTTGACTGTTTTCATAGAGAAAAGATACCACTCTGCAGTGAGACAACTTAGAAACCAGAATTCCTCAGGGCTGGGCAGCAGTGCTCTTAAAATACATCTTTTAACACAACCAAGTTTTTCCTTTCTTCTCTCCTAACTACCCTGACTTTAGCTCCCATGTTCATCACTGAACTCCAAAACCAAGAGGTACAAGATGGATATCCAGTCAGCTTTGACTGCATTGTCGTTGGCAAACCGCTCCCCACTGTTCGCTGGTTTAAGGATGGGAAAGCTATCGAAGAAAACGATCATTACATGATCAATGAGGACCAGGAAGGGTGCCATCAGCTGATCATCACAGCTGTGGTCCCCACTGACATGGGTGTTTACCGTTGCCTAGCTGAAAACAACATGGGAGTTGCTTCAACCAAGGCTGAGCTTCGAGTGGACTGTAAGTCTCAAAATCGCTGTAGAAAAAAAACAAGGGAAGGGGTCCTGCTGAGGTGGATAATTTTTTTTTTTTTTTCAAGAAAAACACCATTTACGTTAAAAAAGGATATGCATTGCTCACAAAATGTTTCACTTGCAAACCTCTCGGGTTCGGTTGGGTTTTGCCAATTCCAAGGCAAGGCTCAGAGCAAAGCTTTTCAGCTCAACAGAAGTGTTTTCCATGATTCAGTGGCACGTGGGATCCTGCTGCAGTAGGGGTGTGAAATCGACCTGCCAGTCACTCAAATTAGTAGGGAAACTATAATTATAGCAAGAAAAACAGTTTCAAAGCTCAGATTACAGAAAACACTTCCTTTTCCATTTAACAGTGACCAGCACCGACTATGAGACAGCAGCAGATGCAACAGAGACATCTTCTTACTACAGTGCCAAAGAGTATATTTCAAGGTAACATATCAAACCCTAGCTCTTTCTGACTTGGTAAGATCAGTATGTATATTGATGTCAAACCTGTTTTTGCTGTATCTAGCAGGGCCAGTTTAATGTCAAAAAAGAACAGCCAGACCAGCTGAGAAGCAATAACTGCAATAGCTGGACATTTATCATGTGAAAACTTGCTCTGGCTGCCTTCAGGCTAGCCTGGATATTTCTTCACTGTATCACTCCATCACTTTTAATGTCATATGATACTGAATCTGTTGTCATGATGACAAAACCCACAGCCTGAATTAACCTAGAGTAGATGATTCTGCTCCCTAACTCTTTTCTGGCTTACTGACTTTCTTCTTTCTAATTCTAATTGCTTCTTAGCCGAGAACAGGAGGAATCTACCACTGAGGAGGAGCAATTGCCCCAGATCTTCGATGAGCTTCATGACATCCATGTGGCACCTGGAGCATCGCTGGCTAAATTTCACCTGAAGGTGAAAGGTATGGGGAGCCCACAGCACTGTCGGTGGTTCCAGGTTTGCTGTCAGGTTGGAGGGCTGGACAAGGTTTTCCAACGGGCTCTTCTGCAGCTGTGACCCCAGTCCGTGCACCTTGCAACAACACATTCGAAGAAAACAGCTAGAAGAACGTGTTCGTGCTGAGGAACGTTGATTTCTGCAGCAGACTCGGGCAGATTGTCTCATTCTATGTCCATGTCTCCAGGCATAATTACAGGCATAAGCTTCTGAAAACTGAGTCCTGTAGTTCTCTGATCACATTAGTTAGGGAGGAGCAATAAGGAATATAAAAAGATAGTGAGGGTGTCCTTTATTCCCTTTAATAAATGAAACAGCCCTGGACTTCCCTTACTCTATGAAAGGGTTGCTGCTGCAACCTAAAAACTGCAAAAACATCCTCCTGGTGGTGATTGTCTGTGGTAGGGAGTGGCTGGAATTGCTGCCTATAAAAATGATGAACTGTTTTGGCTTCAACTCTTCTCTTTGTGTACTGTTTGTGTCTGCAATTCAGACCTAAGCGTTACCTTTCCAACCTGGAAGGCATTTGCACATGCAGCCAATATGGGGAGTGCCAGAAACTGAAGAGACAGGAAGGAACTTTAACAAATACATAGAATTTAATGAATTTGCAGCCATTCGTAATTGAGTAAATCCTTGAAATAGTAGCCTTGGCCAGAGCTGAGGATTCCTTGGCGCCTGCTCAGAAGGATCTGCTTGTTTGGAGGTGCCCCCAAACTGATGCTGCCAACACATTCTCTTCTCTGTGTCTGTCACTGCTCCTCGCAGGGTACCCGCAGCCTCGTCTCTATTGGTTCAAGAATGGACAGCCATTAAAGGCCTCGGATCGCATCCTGAAGACCCATAAGCAGGAATTCCACTCGCTGGAAATTCGTGACGTCACTAAGGCAGATGCTGGCCAGTACTCAATATTCGTCATCAACTCTGGTGGTTCTGCATATTCATCAGCCAGGCTGGTAGTCAAAGGTAGGTATTGGACTATTTTTGGCACCTCCTTTTCTCTATTCTAGTGGCTCTTTCAATTTTATGTAGTTATTTTTCTTGAGAAAGCCTACCAAGGTAAGTCAGTGAGATGGGGAAGTCTGTAGATAAAAGATGACAGGCTTTAATCTTGGGTCACCTATAAATTTACTGTGGCCCCCGAAGATGGGACATGTCACTTCTCTACAGTCTGACTGTTGTCTCATAAACATGTATTTTATTCCTGCCCAACCTCATTAACTTTAATGGTTCGTTTTAATAAAACTGAGGGCCCCTTATGAATCATACTAACATTTCTGTGTAATACCTTCTGCAAGGAATAATACCCTAGAGTCACTTTTTTTTTTTTTTTCAACTCATGGACAGAAAGGAATTTGTATTCATCATTTTGTTTTTTTCTCCTTGTCTTACAGATCCTAATGAGAAAGAAGAGCCATCAGAAACAGGTGAGAAAAGCCATAGCAGGTAGTAACAGAACCCCTTGGAATTTTTCAGTAGTCTAAACTCACACAGAAGGTGATACCATGTTTCATCAATAATGTCATTTTCAGATTCCTATGAGCAGCTGATACCACCAAGATTCCTAGAAAGATTTACTAATAAAAAGGTGAAAAAAGGTGCAAGCATCACATTATCTGTAAAAGTTGAAGGTAAGTGGATAGATACCTTGCCTCTCTGCATAATATTTAAATTGCATCTCTTCATGACACGTTCTAGACTCTTTCTGGCCAAGTCATTTTAATCCCACCTCCTGTATCTGAAGTCTGGGACTCTGCTCCCAAGTTCATAAGAGATTCTATGTGCTTTACAGAAAAGGCATCTTACTCAGCTTTACCTCCATTTTCCTGTATGTAAAAACAGGGACAATAACCTTTATTAGTCTTATGAAGATGTGTTGACAAACAGTTTTGGTTTTACAAAAAGGTTTCATGACCTTAGGAGTGTGCTGTAGAAAGGTTTACATTTCTTTGTTTTTTATTATGCCTCTTATTGTTAGAAAAGTATCAGGAAATGGCTCAAAATACCATTTATTCAAAACACGGCTCATAATTGTGAGGAAGGAACGCTCATTAGGAAAATGAAAGCTCATTGCGTTGGTTTTTCTTTAGGACATCCACCACCAACTATTACTTGGCTGAAAGAAGAATCTCGGGAAGACATCCTGTGGATCAAACCAGACACTCCTGGGTACAAACTTGCCAGTTCAAATATGCATCACAGTCTAATCCTGTTGGACGTTAAAAAGAAGTACAGTGGAGCTTATACATGCATTGCTACCAACAAGGCTGGCCAGTCCCTCTGCACCGCCACCCTGGAAGTTGCAGATGGTAAATCTTTGTTACAATGCAAACACATTCTCTATGTTACCTTTTATACAGAGCCTAAGAGGAAAAACAAGTGTAACTGATAAGGAAATCAATCAAATCACAACTGAAAAAACCCTCATTTTCCCACGATCAGCCATGACTTTGCTTGCCTTGCAAGTAATTACACTCTTTACTTCGATAATGTTTTAGATTTCTGAGCCTATCTTGGATTAACAGCAGCATCTTTTCTGTATAAACAGAAGACAGGTCTAAGAAACAAATCAAGGAAAAAGAAGGGAAGAAAGGCAATGTAAAGTAACTAGAAAAATCACCACTTGAAAAATTATTTTGAGTACCTCGCTCTGCTAAGGTATTTCTCATTGTAGGATTGCCTTCAGGCAGCTAGAGTTGTTTGATTCCCCTTTTACAGAGCTTTCCAGGATTTCTCCTGGCACACTTCCTTCAGTAAGACAGGGGACAAGCAAATAAAGGCTGGGGACAGGGGCAGTGCTCTGAAGGACTGCATTTTTCTGTCATCCTTCCTTACACCCCACATTTTTACAGTACCAAGAGCTACGGGAGCATAGCTTGAGCAGTGTAGAGAAATGGGGCAATCGTACATCTACGTGAACAGGGAGAGGAATAAACTATTTACATCGTATAGTGGGAGTATGTACCCCCAGGTCAGGAGCTGCAAACAAGGCAGATTCAGTATTCCGGTGTTCCCAGTAATCCATGTCTAGAAAATGCACCTACATTAAATACATTAAAAAAAAAAACATTCTCTTCCTTCTGTCCTCTAACGATAAACCCTAATCTTGCAGTGAAAGAGGCTGAAGTTCTGACCCAGGAGCGCGTGATGGTGTCAGAAGCCATCATGACCACACTGGGGTAAGTGGTTGGCCACCCACGCTGAAGTAGACCGATGCAGGTACCACCCTGCAGAAGTTGCCACGAGTCACTTCTTTGGACATCTTCTATTCGTGTCTCAGCACCAGAGTTAGAATAGTTTGAAGACCTAGGATAGAAAGTGCTAGAAATACTGTAGAATCAATGTCAGCCATTTATGCTTGGTTATCAGGGAGGATAGGAACAAGGACAAAATAATTTAAAAAAAAAAAATTGGGTATGTCATACAAAACTCTTGCTACTTCTAAGCAGAATGCCAAAATAATTCACAAAGTCAAGGTCTAACTGTTACTTGCCAACAATTAAACACATTGATGCTTCACAGAAAAGGAAGTAGATTAAAAGGGTCTGCTCACAAATTTCTTGTTTACAAGTACACCTGAAGAATAACTTCCTTAATTCGCCATTCTTGGCTTGGATACTAGGCAGATACAGTCAGAAAAGCAGTATCCACATGAACACACATTATCTTCTAGAGTATGTCCAGCCTAAAAGTCTTGACCAGCCTTCCTCTGAAGTGTGAAGAAAGCTGCAGGGCGAATTCAGGTATTCCACTGCAGCTTCTCCCAAAGACGTGCCCAGGCTCTGCTAGGCATACTTAATGAGATATGGTTTATCATGGATCAAGTGGAGTGAGCTTCCTCCTACCTCACATGTACTAACAGAGAATTAGGGCAGATCAGCCTGTGCAATGAAAATTTATATCCTGTCTCCAGAAAGCACGGGAATAGCAGAGATGTTGACTTCAGGATATTGGTGTCTTAACAGAACTGTACCCTTGGGAACCACCACAAATGCTCTCCATCAAATGCAAGCAAACGCTGGTAGTTCTTCACATCCATGAAGCCCTTTTCACTTAGTGATGGCAATATGTTCTTCTGCCCTTAGCTGCTGGCATGAATAAATTTGGTGCTAGTGAAAGCTGTCAGTGTAGCAAGTTCTCTTTGGAGCTCAGACTCACTGCAGAACCAGTAGTCAGCTTGCTCCCCTGACACACGGACATCCTGACGTGACGGGAGCAGATCTCTTGGCAGGACCACAGCATCTGCGTGTTCTCCAGTCCTCATTTTCCTGATGAAACCACTGGAAATTGTTGAGCAGTAGCTCACTGAAAACTGACTGAGGCTACAGATTCCCACGTGACATAATGTCTCCAACTGTAATAGTTTCATTTCGGCATCAGCTGAGAATAAAGTAGCACCTGAGAGATGGAGGCTACTCTGTTCTGCAACCCACTCCCCGAGCAGCTAGGTCTTCTCCAGCTAAATAAAAGTCAGGAACAAGGAGAATTCTCAGATAGGATTTGACTCAAAGATTAAGACACCCAAGTGTTTCTGTGCCCATATAAGCCAGGTGCCCCAATTCTCGTTTCTCATGTTGGCCCTGGTGAGTATCAGCTACCAGCATCTGTAGTCCAAACCACAATCCCAATCTAGATATTCCCAGCCTTCATGTATAAGGTGTGAGAAGGAGGTGGTGTTTCTCATTTAGCTCTCCTTACTACGCATTTTATTTTAACTTTTAACGCTGCTTTACTCTTTCTTTTTCAGAGATATTCATCCCTCTGAAACAAGAGAAGGTAAGAGAAGTTATTTTCTCCCTCCTACTCCTGCCCTTCAAATCTATACCTGAGTTTGTCTATGTATTTCATTATTTCCACCTACTTTTGTCCCGTTTTCTTTAAACTGTCTGAAATGTTGGAACTTTTCAGGACTGGTCTCTGTTCAAGGGTGAATTATTTGAATGACATGTGAGCAAACACAGTTTTAAAAGCAGGGGAATCAAAAAAAAATTAGACTTTCCTTCTACAGAAGCTTTTGTTCCACAAAAAAAAGAGGACTTTCCAATGACATCATTGCCTGCTTAATAGAAAATTCCATCTTTTCCAGGAGACCTTGAAGCTGGTAGAGAAGGTGTACCTAAAAGCCCTATTTCATTAGCTGATGTTGGCTCAGAAGAGTTCTTCCAGAAACTCACCTCCCGTATCTCAGAAATGGTATCTGCAAAAATAAATCAGGGTAAGGAACCTAACAAACACAATCTAATTGGTGTAGAAAAATATGCGATCTTTTTGTAGGTAACATTCAGACTTTAAATATCAGCGAGATTTATGAAGCAGGTTTTGAGACAGTCATCCTACATAAGCATCTGAACACTTGTGAATGTTTAGGACTAAGAATTTTTAGTGGTAGTCCATTCAAACTGCGTGTCTTAGTCTACAATTTTAAACTAGGAAAAAAGCTGTTACAGCAAAATGAGATGCCTAGTGTCCATTTTATGCTTACAGTGTTTATTTAAATAAGTAGGAGCAACTGTAAGGTTGAGAGAGGAGGGCAAGTTGTAAAAATGAAAGCGTATTTTGAACATCTTAGGTATGTCAAGTTCCTCAGATATTCATCACTCCTGAGTCTGAAAGAAATCCTGTGTTGAAGACTTCCCACATCTTCAAGTTCTAGCTCACGATGGGAATTTAACATCAAGTTGAAGCTGAAAACTGTGTGCACAGCTGTGCAGTAATCCAATGATTTGTTGAATTAAATGAAAAATCCTGGTTTGTGAATCACATACTGATGAACTTGTAGTAAAATTTTATCTTGAAGCAAAAATGGCTTTAAACCGAAAGAGGGTAGATTTAGATTAGATGTTAGGAAGAAATTCTTCCCTGTGAGGGCGGTGAGACACTGGCACAGGTTGCCCGGAGAAGCTGTGGCTGCCCCCTCCCTGGCAGTGCTCAAGGCCAAGTTGGATGGGGCTGGGAGCAACCTGGTCTGGTGGGAGGTGTCCCTGCCCGTGGAAGGTGTCCCTGCCCATGGCAGGGGGGTTGCAACAGGATGATCTTTAAGGTCCCTTCCAACCCAACCCATTCTATGATTCTATGAAAAGTTGAAGCATTACCTCTCCTACAAATATTCTTGCAGAGCAGTGGCAATATATGCAGTAGTCATGTATCCTCATGCATTAAGATGTCCCAAATACTTATTTAATCCTAGATATCAATAGCAAATCACACTAAGTACTACAAATGCTCTTCCTAGGGAATATTTGGTTTTATGAAACTGAAAATTGTGATACATTTGCTTCACGTTCAAATAGGAGATCTTTATTTCTCACTTTGCTGTTGCTCTGCCTTTTAGCTACTCTTCGAGTGCCAGGTGCAGAAAGTGACGATGAATCAAAAACTCCCTCTGCATCTCCTCGCCATGGACGATCCCGACCTTCATCCATTGCTCAGGAGTCCTCCTCTGAATCTGAAGATGGGGATTCCAGAGGAGAGGTATGATATCTTTATGGACAAGTTTGGCACAAGGAGAGAACTTTACTTAAAATGACCAGTCTGCTATGGTTTAAGGATCTCCATCGCCTTTCAGGATGTACTTCGCTTTAGTAGGTATATTTAGTAGTTAAATATTGGGTCTGTGATACAGAGCACAGAGAATCAAGCTCTGACGCTCAGCATGTGATCTCGAACAAGTTGTTCAAGTCAACATGGTCAAAACATACCCATTATTTGGCACCTTTTGCTTTCATGGCTGAGCTTCAGAAAGTCAGAGCTTGGTTTTCTGTGGCCTTGGATAGAGTTGGTCAGAAGGATTTTGTTATGAAGTTCTTCATGAGAAAAATAAGAATTTTGTGAAAATTAGAACCTTTTTGGGTGTTCAATTCAAACACTTCCTAAAAAAAAAAAAATAAAACTTTGGAAATGTTAACCTATTTTGACATTTTCAAAACAAACCACTGTTTGTTTTGCCTTGGGAGAAAAATCCACTGTTTCACGGTGTAAATCGAAAACACCTCAAATATTCTTGAAAATATGGCCTGACCCTCCTAGAGACTTAGTCTTCTACTTGCAAAAAGCAAACAGTGATTCTCTTTGCTGTACAAGGGCTGGAGAATGAAGCATTAAACACAGAGAAGCACTGATGTGCTGCTGGTGTTACTGTACTCTATTTTCAGAGCACAAAATAACTGTCATTTCATGCCTGCAGATCTTTGATGTCTACATGGTCACAGCTGACTACATGCCTGCTGCTCCTGACAAGGAGACCATCACTTTGAAGGAAGGCCAATATGTGGAAGTCCTTGATTCAGCTCATCCTCTGAAATGGCTGGTCAGGACTAAACCCACAAAATCTAGCCCCTCTCGACAGGGTTGGGTATCTCCAGCTTATCTGGACAAGAAATTAAAGGTGACTGCTCATGCTGTGTTTGTTTTTCATACAAAATTGCTTGCTCCTCTCGCAGTTTAGAGCTATCCCTTTTGCAAGGAGCGATGGATGAGATGGTTGTTGAAAGGGTCTGTAACATGATTGGGCTTTTTCATGTTCTGATTAGACATTTCTGTAGATGTGCAGGGGTGCCTGGGATTGAAAGACCTAATCATCCTCTAGCAAAAAAAAAGAAATTTCACACAGGTTTAGGAGTTGTCGAAGGGAACTGTGAACACACGAGGGATATTCCTCAGTGCGCATTGATAAAAGCACTGTTAACTTCAAAGAATAATTTGTCTTTTTTCTTGTATTTCAGTTGTCACCAGAGTGGGGAACAACAGAAGCTCCTGAGTTCCCTGGAGAGTTTGTTTCTGAAGATGAATATAAAAGGAAGCTAAGGTGAGCTTGTGACATTTGGTATTTGCACCTTTCCGTTTTCTTGCCTTTTGAACTAACATGAATGTTGGCATCTATGCCCCTCCTGTCAGAGCCACTGTTTTTGTCCTGCTGAGCCCTGTCACCTCCCCTTTCCCAGAATCAAGCAAATCCTTGATTCTCTCAGACTTGTAATTTTGTATTTTTGGTTGATTTTTACCATTGATGTCAGCCTAGGAAATTCCAGGCTATCTAAACCATACTGGGTAACTTGCAAGAAGAGGTTTACATGATGTAATCCTGGAAACTCTAATTTCACAAAAATCCTCAACTTCAGTACCTCTGTACTTTGGTGTGCCCTGTATCTGAGGAAGTCCCCCAGCATGTCAAGGATAATTGTGATGTTCTGTGCTTTCTTTTTGCTTATTTGTCTTCCCTTCAGTGTTCTTATTCAAGAGCTGTTGATCTCAGAAGAGGATTACATTCAGGATTTACAGTTCCTCCAGACTCATCATCTTAAGTTCACTGAGACCTGTCCCAATGTCCCGGGAGCTGTTGCCAGTCAGAAATCCACCATCTTCAGGAATATTGATGACATTGCTCGCTTCCATTCCAGGTGGGCATTCCCAGGTGCCTTCATTTGAGACCAAAGAGTGGCTCATATAGCTGGTGCCAGAGCCACAGTAACTATCAGCACTGCGAAGGATGTGGAGCACTGGCAGTGTTGAGCTGCAAGGGAACTGATGGTCCTTTTTGGATGATAGAAGATGGCATAGCTTAAGTCAGAGCACAGAGCTGGGACTCCCATAATACCCTTCAGAGCTTCAAGGCTTTGTATGTCCAGCTTATTTATAACCCTTTTAAGCAAATTTAACTGAGAAACAATGAATTACTATAAAAAGGCAGCATGGTCTTACAGGCACTTCAGTGGTATTTTCATAGAGACACCCATTCATCTAAAACTATGGTCGGATCCATGCATTCAACACACACCCGGCTGTAGCAGGCTGCCCAGGTACGACATCGTGGCCCAATGCTTCTGCCTACTCCAAGAAAGGATTTACTGCAGATCTGCTGTTCACAAAGTGACTTCCCAAGGTCCAGGCTGAAATACTTTTGTTTGCCAGGGAGAGGAGGTGTTGTACGATGTCTTATGTGCCTTAGGCTTTCCGTTGCTAAGGACCCTCCTTTTGCACCTTGACACCCTTGCTCTCACGAGAAGTGGCTGTTCTCACGGGAAGTCCCTGCCAACAGCCTAAGAATCACCCTTTCTTCCCTGTTTTCCTACCCTGTGGTCCTCACTTTTGGTTTACCTTAGGGGGGCATCAATAACATGCATGCACAAAGCTCAACAACCAGTGAGCGTGCAGCATCTTCCCCGATCAACACGTGCTAGCAGCATTGTAAGCAGGAGCAACCAATATGGAGTCTGAGCAGGTTGCAATGAAAAATATATAGCTACTCTGGGGAAATCATTACGGGGGGCACCGCTGCTGCAATGGGGAGGGCTCTTATGTGGGACATCTGGCACTTTTCCTGGCTGGGCCACAAGAATAGATTGCCCTCCTCTTTCCTCCTTCTCTCTCTTCTCCCTCTCCATTTGTTTTTCCCCAAAAGTAACTTAAGCACTAGAGCTGATGTACATCATCAGCTACTGACACTGCTAAAAGTCTTTGCCTGTGTGAACTTGTCTAAACATCCTTTGTGAAAGAGAGTGAGGATCTCTGTCTTCACTCATGTGGGTGGCTCATTGATCCTTTAGCTGAAGCATAAGGATCTGGGAAGAGAGGTTGACTTCCCAACTTGAGCTAAGCCCTTGAAAATAATCCCTCCCTTCCTTGCAGGGCATTTCATACATTCCAGCTAAGAGGGACAGCATCATGCTAGATGGAAAGGCATTGAGAATTTTAATCCTAACATGGCAACGTCCCTCATCTCCTCCAGTCATTTCCTTTAGTATGTGCTAACCTGAAATTGCCTGATTTAAAGGTCTTGCTGCTGGGGCTGTGTTCTAGCCCCATTACCTCACCTTCTTCTCAGATGTCCTTTTTCATTTGTCTCCACAGTGTCTTCCTCCGAGGCCTGCAGAACAGTGACACTGATGATGACGTGGCCATGTGCTTTATCAAGCACGAGGCAGAGTTTAATAAGTACATCCAGTACCTGGTGGGGCGGGTACAAGCTGAGTCGATTGTTGTCAGCAAAGCTGTCCAGGATTTCTACAAGGTAAAACAGTAGCCAAAGTACCTGAAAACATGCATCCTATAACCCACTGCATCAAGAAATGTAGTTATTAATCATGAATGTGATCCTGAAAAGGAAATCATTGCTAAATATAATGATTTTATATTCACTGTCTAGTTCTTCCTGGTTGATACAATCAATACCGAACATATTCACATATGCTTATGCATGTATGTATATTATAAAGATTATACAGATGATAACGTGGCTGTGATTATGTAATTGTAATTAAGGGATGTTTTAAGGGCCACTACATTATAAGACTAAGCGAACTCACATAAAATATTAGTATAGATAGGAAAATCCTACTCCTACTCACCAGCTAGTCTAGCTTGGTGCTCGCTAGAAAACAAATGCACGTGTTCACACTCACCCCACAGTCACAGATCCCTCAAATTATCAGCAAAAGCGCTCAGCCTCTCTAATGTCCCTGCCTCGATCCTGGGTCTCCTACTCGCAGCTAGTCCAGCTTGAAGTTTGCTCGTGAACTGCACACAGTTGCACCCACGTGCAGCAGGACAGTGGGAAGGATAAGCATCCAGCTCGGTGGCTGATGTCCTAGCACATGGGCCCCATGAGCTGTGCTTCCCGCTCCAGGTGCCGAGACCCTCACTCGCTCCGGTCACTGGCACCGCAAACACACAGACCACTCTCGACCAAGGCCTGACACCAGTTGCAGGCACCGAGTTCACTCACTCCTGCCCTCCCACCCCACCGAAAGAGCTGATCTTTCCTGTCTCACCATCTGGTTCTGCAAGATTTGCATCACGTTTCCCCAGCGTCAGTCCTGCACTGGAGAAGCAGCCAAATTCAGCATTTCGGGCATCTCGCAGTCTAAAATGCTGACTAGCTGGTAAAGGATGGGGAAGGATTACAGATGGCCAAAACGTGGGGTCGTAAGTTCTGGTAGCGCTATCCAACTTTGGCTGAGTTAAGTCTATGAACCAGCATCATATGAGCATTTTCCACGGAGTAATCTTTTCTGTTATTCTTTATAATACCGTTCCGCATCCTTCTGTGTATTTTTGCAGAGGTACACAGATGAAATTTTAATTAATGAAGATCCTTCACAGCCACTTATCCCACCACTGCAGCACTACCTGGAAAAACCCATAAACAGGATCCAGCAGTACCAGACTATAATCAAGGTGAAAAGCTTTTGTTATACACTTACATCTGATAGGTTTATGTTCTGTTTTGTGCATCTTGTGTAGAAAAAGACTTCATTTCGTATTTCTTGGCTTTTTTCTGATGCAACTACAATTGAAAGCTGCTTGAGTAAGTAAGAAAGGCAGTAATCATCACCAGTGATGGTGCTTTTTAAATAGTTTTGTAAATGTAAATCCTGGTAGAGGTTCACAATCTCTAACCCCATGAAGTTCAGCAAGCTTTACCTGAATGATCTTTAAATATATGCGGATGCATATATAAAAAATATGTGCTTATATGCATATAAATACGAATACACATATGTATCTATTCAAGAATGAATTTGCTTCACACATGCAAGATACTAACTTACTAGTTTCTTGCCTTGTGTTTTATACTGACACTATAGTAAGATGAAATTTTTGTTTTCTTGAAAGCTTTGCCCCATTCTACCATCCCAAATTGTTCCATCTTTCAAGCTTTCACCTGTCCAACTACCCTAGATTCTAGCCCAGACCACAAATGAAAGTTTCAAAGCAGCATTTTTTCATGGTATTTTTCCCAGGAAATAGCACTAGGAGAGTCAGAAATATTTCCGTATTCTGGCATTACAGAAGTGATCAGTTTGAATAGTTTGAAGACGGTTCAAATTAAGTTTCTGATTTTGACCCCCTGCCTCCACACAAACACCAACATTTTAAATGGTGTCTTGGAAGACAGAGTGAGCGTGCCTTCATTATGCAGACGAAAAGGATAACTGCCATTTCATATTTTTCCATCCTCTCTTTTTTTTTAAATCTAATAGCAACCCTTAGTTTAACACTGCCACACAAATTGCTTGCCTCATGGTATCGTCAGGGTAACCACAAGAGAAATGTAATTTAGGATTACTTTGGGATTTTTGGTTTTCAGTCACTGAGGCCTATCTGGTATGTGCTTCAACTTTGTCTTTGTTTAATATCAATTGATGTAAGGAAAAGCCAGGCTGGCTAGTCAGTGAGGGTGCAGAATGTGTAGGAAAGAGGAGACTTCAACAGCTAAGCAGGACATGGTGAAAAAATGGGATAAATTTGCTCAGATGAAAGAGCTGGAACAGATACTGCGAAACTCATCAGCGAACAAGGAAATGTACTTTTTTTTTCCCCCTGACTGCCCAGTAACACCTTCTTCATTGATCTACAGGAATTAATCCGAAACAAAGCAAGGAATAGCCAAAACTGCACTTTGTTGGAGCAGGCTTATGCCATTGTGTCTGCACTCACCCGAAGAGCAGAAAACAACCTCCATGTCTCACTCATTGAGAATTACCCAGGGACCTTGGAAAGCCTTGGTGAACCCATCCGACAGGTAACTGGAATTTCTCATCAGTGTTAGTGCTATGCACGTCTTCACTAGTTTCTGAGCAGCCTTAGGTCCTACAAGAAGCTCCTCCAGAAATCATATCTAAAAGAGAATACTCGCTTATCACCTTTCTTGCTGTTCAGCGAGATCAGTTTCTTGGCTTGATTAAGGTTTGAAGCACCAGAGCATAGACACTTATGGAGCAATTCACACATAATGGAGTTATTTGCCTTTGCAACCCACTCATCAAAGAGGAACAGATTTGTTCTGGTACCCCACATGATTTTAAAGCATTTTATTTTTTCCTCCTCCTCTCTTATTATTGGCAAGCTACATGGGCCAGCTCCTGAAATTACTGGCATCAGTGGGTTTTCCTCTTGATTCCTCAAGTGTTAGAAGCCCACTGGGCCTTTTCAATCTACATGCTTTCATTTGACACAGTTCTTTCAAAGAGCCTAGTTTGCTGGGATGCCAGTACAAGGTAGCACAGTTTACATCACAAATGCTCCATGGGAAAACATTAGGTCAATTTATGGATGTTCTCCCACAGCCATTCATATCTCTTCAAAAGGCCCATGTGCTGCTTCAGGTGTCTTTCATGAAACAGATACGTGTTTTAGGAGCACAGGGGAATGATGACCCAGCTATTGGGACACTAGTCTAGGAGTTTCAACGCTTTTACTCCAATTCCTGTTTCTTTGTGGACCTACTGTGTCATGCTGGGAAAGTCATTTACTCTGCCTGTTTGTACCCTACGTCTTCCACGGGAATCACAGTGTACTATTGCTGAGTGGAGTTGTAAGGCAGTGATGACAGTGAGACAATCTGGTGGGGATGTGTCTATCCACATTTAGACATCTGAAAAAAAAAAAAAGCCCTGTGAATCACACCCCAAGAGCTCTTACTTCTCCCTGATGATGCCAGGGGGAACCCGTGTCACTAAGTGAGCAATGTATGTCTGAAGGTATGTGAAATGAATGTCCTGCTCTGGTGAGGAGACCAAGTAAGCATGTGAAGTGTCCACGTAACACACATAACGTTTTCCATTATCATTAGTACTGGTGGTGTATGCCTGCTTGACACAAGCTCTGTATTTTTCTGGCAGCAAAGAATACCATTTAAAGGTCAAAGTAATGACAAACACTGTGTGCACCCGTGTTGGCGCTGTCAGTCTGATGCATCGCCATTAGCATTAGAAACCATCTGCTGTGCTGTAATAAACAATGACACATAAAGTGACAATGTAACAGTAAATATTTGTTATTTGTTCATTGAAAAATTATGGTGAGACGTCATCATGGTAATTATTCCAGAGTTATCACTATGTGCTTCTCCTTCTTTCCTATCAGGGCCACTTCATTGTGTGGGAAGGAGCTCCAGGAGCTAGAATGGCATGGAAAGGACACAAAAGACATGTCTTCCTCTTCAAAAATTACATTGTGATCTGCAAACCAAAGCGAGACACAAAGACAGACACTTACAGTTACATCTTCAGGAACATCATGAAGGTCTGATCTCTGTATGCTCACCTAGAGCCTTTCTCTGTCATTGAGAACTGCATGTTTATACCCAGCTTCTGGTCATCTAAATGAGACATTTCACTGATTCTTTTGAGCTATTCCTTTGTTTCCGAAAGTTTTTGAAGCACAAGTAGAATCTATCTATTCCAAAACCTCTCTGTTATACCTGTCAGAAACATGCCAGAAACCATTAGAAGCATGGGTGGATTTTTACGGTGCAGCAATGACATTAGATGTACAAGTGTTTATTCATCCCTGTCAGCTCACTGAGTTAACTGCATAAGTACATGGTATTTTGCTGTCTATAGTATTTTCTAGCATTTGTAGATCTTTGGTTTTGGCAGCCTGCAGGAAATGCTGGTTTAGTCATATGCTACATTCCCAGTGGTTATCTCTGCTGGTTATGTCCTTTCCTGGCATCAATTGCTGTTTAGAAATGAAAAATGCAGAGGATCTGACCAGCTCATCGTCAGACATTCAGAGCTTAGGTTAAAACGGCAAGAAATTGCAGAAATTTTTCCAAGGCAGTAGATGTTCAACTCTAGTAAAAACAAAAAAACCCAAACAAAAACCCCATGGAGTTCTTGACTGAGCCCAGTCAGGGCCTTCTGAAAGTCCTTATCTCTGTCCTCGTTGGCATTGACAGGCAGATTTTACTTTCTGAGAGGCAAAAAAAAAAAGAGGATGCTTTGTCTGGAAAACAAAAACCCCATGGAGTGTTTGAGCCCAGTCAGGGCCTTCTGAAAGTCCTTATCTCTGTCCTCGTTGGCATTGACAGGCAGATTTTACTTTCTGAGAGGCAAAAAAAAAAAGAGGATGCTTTGTCTGGAGAGTGCCTGCTCTGTAATTTCTTTTCTAGTCCCTAATGTGCTGTTCCTGGGCCGAACAGTGCTGTACTGCAGGGTTGGTGTGTCCCACCCTGGGATACCCTTTAATGGTGGTCATTATTTTCCTGAAATGTGATAATTACTCCCAGGAAAATGCTGCCTGGTAACCAGAAAGTCAGGTATATACCACAGAAAGGATTGCAAAGTGACCCTAATTGCTATTCATCCAAAAGCATATTGCATTGCTCATGCAGCCCAAAAAATCTTTAAAAATGGTGTAAATTATCCTTTTTGCTGTTGCAGCATCTAATATAGCTTTAATGGGAACAGCACAACTCATGCCCACTGAAGAGTGTACACACTGGTAGCAGGAGGCTTGCTTTTAATTGTTTAAGAGTTGTTTCTATTTCAAACCTTGAAGATGGTTCTGGTTCAGAAAGGCTAGGTCCAGATCTGAACTGTCCTAAACTCCAGGATTTCAGCTGTGGGAAAGGTTCTGGCTGAAATTCAGCCCTAAGAACCCAGGTTGTATGTTGACTTTCTTGTCCTGCTGTCACGCAGCTGAACAACATAGATGTGAATGACCTTGTGGAAGGGGATGACCGGGCGTTTGAGATCTGGCACGAACGGGAAGACTTGGTCCGCAAGTACCTCCTTCAGGCACGTACGGTGAATATCAAGAACTCCTGGGTGAAGGAGATCTGTGGCATACAGCAGCGGATCAGCGAGCCTGTCTGGAGTGAGTATGGCCCAAGATATCCCAAACCTCCTAGGTTTTGTTGGGTGGTCTCCCTGATTCAGGAAAGAGATTAGCAAAAGATGGAGAGAAACCATCCAGGGTCATTTGCCACCAACTGAACAAGGGTTAGAGGTTTTCCCTCAATCATATCGCAGACTGCTGTAAATAACAACTCACGTGACTTGACGGCACGCAGTAAGCTGTAACTGAATGGTTATGGCAGTGTTGGGTCCTCCACCTGACCTGGGGAAGGCACTTTTAGCAGGATGGGGTGGTGGTGGTTGACTCTACCCATTTACCATCATGGGAGCCAAGACTGTAAATCCCTGAAGTCATTAAGTTTACATGACAGAGGTCCCACAGGACCTGTATAGGTTTCCAGACAATAGCAGGGCAGATGAGTAACTTTCTAATTACTCTTCAACGTCCATAACCCAAGTGTGGAAAACACAGGCTGATGAGCTGAGAAGAGCTGGCTATCCCTGACCACGTCAAGTGATGTGGGTTGCCTTTGGTGGAGGATCAGAGTCAGAGACCAAAGTGGTTGCTCAGTTCTCTGTCTTCATTTTCATACGTTCTTATCAATAAGCAGAGGATGTAATTTCCCAGCAAAATAGCCCAGAAAATGCACATCACTGGAGAAGACAAATACATTATTGAAGCTTCTAAAACACAAACTGCAGCGTTTACACGAGAGATGCATTTGGTCTGCCAGGGATTGCAGGAGGGTAGATGACCACCAAATTTGGTGACAAAGGTCCCAGCCCACTACATGAAGAGCATCAGACTCCAGTGGGGAAAAGTAGTCTCAGGACCTGCCCCAGAGTCCTGCTCACACCAGTATAAAGCCCCCCATGACTTTGTTGGGTACCAAATCCTCCACTCAACTTTTGGCTCACATTGCTTTATCTGGGCACATGGGTTTACTTTGGATTTTTATCTTGTCATTCAGGCTGCTTCATCCTCACTATCGTTTGAAATTCCACCAATTTTCTATCCACAAAATTTATCATCAGGAATATTGGATCTTTATCGCCCAGGTGTAAGCTAGAAACAGTGTAAGGAAATTTGGCATCTTCAAGTGCCAGACCAGAGTTGGTTTTAGTGTATATACACTGAAAACAAGTCTGGGCATTTTATTTTTGTGCTTTTAGTGAGGTGTTCTAATGAGGACGACTATCAGAATAATTTTGCATAATTCCATATGGTCATAATAAGTTAAAATAAAAGTCCCTTAAAAAAGCATAGATTTTATTGTATGGAGACCAACAGAACACTAGTTTGGCTATCAAGGGTCCATTTTAATTGGGGAATTATCTTAACTGTGACAGCTGTGTGGTGCCTGAATAATGGATGTGCTTATCAAAATCATGGCCTAAAATACTTCCAAATCAGCAACAAATCCCATTTTTTAATGTCCCATCTCTGCAGTCAACAACAGACATTTGACAGACTGAGTTTGGTCTAGATAAGCAAGGACAGCATGTCACCTGGAAAGTGATTAGCTGCTAAAATTTCCTGTTCAGCTTTCCATTCTGAACCTCACAGATTTGCAAAAATTATACCTATTCTTATCTTACTTTACAGCAGCCATCCTAGGGACAGAGCTCCCCTCCTCCGGACTAACACGCTTATTCTGATATTTCAGTACCTCCAGACTTCGAGGAAGAACTGGCGGACTGTACAGCTGAGCTGGGAGAGACAGTCAAGCTGGCTTGCAAAGTTACAGGCTCTCCCAAGCCATCTGTCAGCTGGTACAAAGGTATGAGCAGCAAGTCACGAAATTTATCCTCCAAATTTGTTCTCTGGCTGTATTGCTTTGCGCTAATTGGTTAGTGGTAATCTAAAAGCTGACCAGCTAGAGAAACGCAAGTCTGGTCTTAAAAGTTAGCCATGAAGCAACCCAGGTAACATAGATCTTCCTATGAGCTAATATACCCTCCTTTCTCGGGTTTGCCTATTAGCCCATATGAAGCGACATCTTGTGGCAGTTAGGCTGTTGCAAATCTGCGGTGGGTAAGAAAAACTTCTCTACGCAAA